TCTTCCTGGGAATACCTTAAAACTGGCCTATTCTGTAGCCGTCCTAGCTAACCCAAGACACTGCCTGAATGTTTGCAATGGCCGTCTAGTTGGTCCTCTACCTTCACTTCACCCTCCAGACTTCAGAGAGGTTTCAAACATACATGCCTTAAACTATGCATTGGCTCCCCATTGCTCACCAGTCTCAAGCTCCTTAAATAATGCACAAGGCCCCTGCTACCTCTCCAGCCTCAGCTACTGCCACGTTCTCCAAGCCCAATCCCTGTGCTGCAGGCACAGAGAGCTTCTTTCCATCCCCTGAGAGTGCCTAGCTCCCTCCCTGCCCTTGGCCGACCCTCACCTGGTCAAGGAATATCCCCACTACTGTCCATCTGTTCCTCTATCCATTCATTTTCTGATTCTCTGGAGTCCCTGTGTGCAGACAGTCTGCCCTAATGAATCATGCATGCCACAGGAGCAGGGATGAGAGCTGTCAGCAGTGTGCCACCCACCCACACATGTGCTTGGGGTTCTTCAGGATAGAGGGACAGCTGGCAGTGAGACCGGGGGAAGGGCTAGGCTTGCAGAAGGGATGAGCCCATGTCAACTGGAACAGAGATGCAGGCACCTGATGCCACAGCGTCCCCACTGCACACCTGTCCAGGAACAGCCAGTGCTGTTCCTCTCCTGGCAGCGTTGCCGCCCAGCAGATTTATAAAGGGGTTGGGTGTCCCAGGCTGCTGAGGAGGGAGGCAAACTGCATGTATGCCCATGTTCCTGGGGCACAGCCCAGACTCAAGGTGGTGCTGTTTGTGAGGATACTGGCTGTGCTTGCAAATGGCTAGGGAGTCCCAGCAAAGACTTGATGGCCCACAGGCTGTGGCCAGAGCTCCTCTGGGATGCTGCATAGAGCTGAGTGCTCCTGGGCTGGCAAGGCCAGCCTGCCCCCACCAAAGCTTTTCCTCCAAATCAAAAAAGACTGCTCTCCTGATGAAGCAGCCACCCCAAATTATCCCCAGGAATAAAGTGACACTTTGATCAGTTTCAAAAGACAGCAGAACTGGCTTAAATCTGGTGAATATTTGGAAAGAAGAAAACCCCAGCAAAACCAGATGAGGCATCCATGAGACACTGAGCAAGGCGAGATTATGAATGGGATGGGGAGGGGAGGCACACGCGTCCAGTGTGGACACCTTGGGAGGCCTCAGCCTGGCTGTCCCCATCCAGCCCAGTCCATCCTACCCCAGCAGGAAACCCTGTCCCAGCCAGGCCTCTCCCCAGGCCTGCTCTCAGGGCACCAAGATCTCCATACTCACCCACAAGCTCTGGCCAAGCCTAGAGGAAGCGAGAGAGAAGCACCCACCAGGGAGGCCCTCACGGCTGTGCTGGGAGCCGCAAGTGACACTGGGAAGGGATCCATGCAGGTGGCACAGGTCAAAGTCTGCAGGAGGGCTGGTACACACCCAGACCTGTCTGTCTGGCTCTGCCAGGGCCACCCTTCACCCCTTCCCACCACGGGACGTGGTGGGCTTGGTAGGTCCACAGGACAGCCAGACCCAGTCTGTGCTTGGCTTTGGCCATAGCCCTGGACACCGGGGAAAGGCCAGGCTCTGCCTTCACATGTTTTGGAGAGCTCTGGGAATCTGTGGCAGCATTTTTTTCCTCAGGACAGCCCCACTTTGGAGGGACATGGGCCACTGGGGACTCTGAGGGTTTGTTGAGGAGCATGTGAAAGGTGAATGCTGCTGTGGGCTGGATGTCTCTGTCCCTCAACATTCACATATTAAAATCCTCATTCCCAAGGTGATGGCATTAGGAGGTGGGGCCTTGGGGAGGGATTAGGTCACAGAGGTGGAGCCTCATGAATGGGATTAGTGACCTATGAGAAAGGAACCAGATGGACCATTGGGCCTCCCACCTGCAGTGGGAAGGCAGTGAGAAGGCATCACCTGTGAAGCAGGAGGACCCTCACCAGACACAGGCACCTGATCGTGCACAGACAAACTCCAGTCTGTGTTTCATTATAGCTGCCTCACGGGGCTAAGGCAGGGCCATCTGGGAAGAGCTCATCAGCAGAACAAGGGCAGTGGGAGACTGATTGGCTGATTGGTGGAGCTGAGATGGCATGAGAGAGCAGAAGGTGCTGGACTCAGCTCCCAGCTTAAGGGCACCCCTGGGAGCCCCAGATGACCCAGGCTGGGGAGCTTGGCAACCCAGGATCCCACACTCTCCTTTGCGCGGGTCCATCCCTGGTGAGATGCAGACATTCTGGGCAGGGTGTCAGGCTCTAAGGCTGTGCGAGGACTGGAATCTAGGTAGCCTCCACCCCCGAGCAGCTATGTGGGGGCCCGCCCAGTGGAGGCCGGGAGAGTAGAGCCCCCTGGACCACCTGCGGCTGTGGCTGGGGCAGCAGGAAAGCCCTGCAGGGCTGCCTCCTGCCTGCCTCCCTTCCCTCCCAGAAGCCAGCAGGCACATGCTGAGGGGCCTTCCCACAAGCTGCCAGGCCAAGGATGAGTTCCTCACTGAGTCCCCCTGGATATTCCCCTGCAGACTGAGCAGGGGAGGGTAAGGTGACCAGATTTTAACATTGGTAAAGCGGGACATCATTGACTAGGGGTGGGGTGGGATTCTTAATTAAAAATTTGGTCTATATGGAGCAACAGAAATTTGTATAGAATGCAAAAATAGTATTGTAATATATATTTTTTAATTTCAACATTAGTACAATTTACAAATATAATACATTTTTAAAAATTGTGTATAATATTATTTTATTCTTTGGCATATTTCTCATTTGAGTGAATTTTTTTTTTTAGTAGATTGCTGTCGTTGTTTAAAAGGTCATGAAATTTTCACAAGAATTTGTTAAATTATATTTCACACATAAAATGACTTTCAATGTCTCAACGCTTAATTGTGATTTTTCTGATGTCCACACTTTATTTACCATAGAAAAAAATGTGTTCAGTCACAGCATTAGTTCCTGGTAAGGACAGTGCGTATCCCACAATTTTTAGTGCATTATTGTGTGGACCATGGTTTGTTTCAAAATGATGAAATATTTCTAACCATTTGTTTTCTATTGTGATTTTTGCTGATGCCCAAGATTTAACCTTTTCCTTATCAATATATTTTTTAAATAATGATACCTTATAAGTCATGTCACTTTCAAGGCTGGGGCTAGACTTTTTGCTGCCATATAAAATATAAATAATACGAGTACTGTCTGCTAAATTCATGAAATAAATTACCTAAATTATCTGAATAGCTGATTTGTTGACATCATTTGTTTAACTGGCACTAGCACGCAGTACGACGTGTATCATCTGAGAGACAGTTACAAAATGTTTTCAGGATTGCCAAGGCCATTAAATGCCATTGTTCATTAAGTCCAAACAATGGTGGTCAAATTCTAACAACTGATCAACAATGCGAACTTTGATAAGCAGTTCTTGATAATCAGTTCTCAACAATTATTTATTATTAAAGTTTAACATTATAAAATTAACAAAAATAATATAAAACTCATATCCTGGTGAAACAGCCACATGGCAGCGGAAAACCGTCTATTCCCTTCCCGTTCTCCCGCCGTTCCCTAGCCTGTTGTGCATTCTTTCCAAAAATCGGGACCTTTTTTAAAACATTGCGGGATGCAGGACAAATTGTTAAAAATCGGGACTGTCACGCCAAAAGCCAGACGTCTGGTCACCTTAGATGGGTAGTTGGCGGTGCCTAGAGATGTTACTACCTAGACTCCAAGGGAGACAGGCTCAGGCCTGCGTCAGCATCTCCTGATGACAAGAGCAGTGGCTGCAGGGCCCAGCCAGCTCAGGGTGCAGGAGTCGGAGCACCTGGGCCACTGAAGTGCCTGATGGGGACTCAGGAGGCATTCCCGTGTCCTCCCTTCACCTGTAGGTGCTGCTCAGAGTCTGCACCGAGGCCCCGCACAGGACCTGCCTGCTCACGCTCATGGGCTGAATGCTGGCTTGGACCAGCTCTGGAGCCTCCAGCTTGGGTGCCACCCTATGGCTCATTATTGTTGGCCTGAAGGGCAGCAACCCCAGCTCCTCCTGAAGTCCAGTGGAAGCTAGAGGACCAGGGAGTGCCATAGAGGGCTATGCCAGTATCATAGTGAGCCTGTGCCAGCTTGTGCTGGCGGGAGCAGGGAAAGCCCCAACCTGCAGCCAGCTGGAGGACAGCTGGGGATGGGCAGCAGCCATGCCACGGGAAGAGAGGCTGGAGGTGAGGGCATAGGGCCACCTGTGAGGGCGCAGACTCTGTGGAGCGACTCGGGAGTTAAGATAAGCACAACTGGGATGAGGGTGTCTAAGCCAGGCTCTCTGCATCTCCCCAAACACTAAGGGGCCCGGGATAAGAAGTTTAAAAAGGATTAGTGGCAGTCCTCCCCACTCAGTGTTTAGAACTTTCCCCCGAACTGTTCAGTGGCACTCGCAGCTCTCACTACAGCCTATGGTGTGGGTTGTTGGGGGTTGGGGGGAGATGGGGACAGAGAAGCCAGCATGACTCAAGAAGCAGAGGCAGCACCTACCCACGGACCCTCCAAATAGACTCCAGCACAACTCAGGGGCAGAGGCGTCATCCTAACCATGGATCCCTCCAGATGGACCCCAGGCTCTTCCTTTCACAGCAGCTCCTGTTCTGACCCCACCCCTTCACTTCCAGGCTTGGGTGGGATCCTTGTGCTGAGTCTCCTCCCACTCCTGAGTCCAGCAGTGGTCTTCATTCCCAGGACTCCACCTGCCCCGCCTGGCCTCCTGTCCTGAAGAGCCCTGGGCCTGCCCCTTTAAACCTCTCTTCTTCTCCCCACTCCCCACCTTCTCTCTAAACCTGTCCCCGGCTGACCAGCTCTGCCCACTGCCCAGACCCCTGGTCCCTCTAGAGGCCATCTGTAGTGTCACCAACCTCAGTCTCAACAGTGCCCACCCAGCCCCCACCCCACAGTCCACACAGAAAGCAGACTCAGCCTCAAGTACCAGGAATAGGACACATGTGCAAACTGCTCAGTGCTTATGTTTATTTACAAAGTATATCTGACATGTGATTCAAATAATAAGCAGTTTCAAGTAAGATTTGTTGCCATGTACTCCTGCCTGGCATAAGGCCTGTCTAGAGTCAGCAACAGATGATGTGTGAGAATTCTGGGATGGCTGAGTGTCTGGGCCCTGAAATCAGCGTCTCAGATGCCACCGAGTTGTTCCTGTCTGTTCTGTACCTGCTCGGACACAGGGCAGCATCTCCCTGGGACAGGAAGTCTCATGTGAAACAAGGCACACAGCTACCCTGCTAAGCTGAGGCTCACAGGTAGCTCTCAGGCTCGTCACCTGAAGTGGCATGAGGTGCCACTAGCTAGGTTTTCCTCACTGCCAAGACGGAGACCTGTGAGGGGAGAGCAGTCTGGGCATAGGCTGTACCAGCTGCCTTCCCTCCTCATTCCAGGAGCCCAGGGACAGAGATGCAGCCCCTGCTCCTCTAGCCCCCCAAGGCTCTGCCCAGGGTGTCTCATGGAAAGAGACATGAGCATCTGACATCCCAAGCAGAGGCTACCTGCATGCCACCAGGCAGGTGAGCTATCCTGGGGCAATGGGGACAGCATACCCACCTCCTGGAGGAACTGGCCAAGCACCTCCTGGCTGTGAATGGGCCGCCTGTGGAGAGAGCGCCAGGTCATCCCTCCTAGATCTGTCCCTGCACCATCAGAGGCTGTGTGCTCTGAGCTCCCTCCCCTAGGCTTAGACCAGCAAGGAAGGGCCATTAAACACATGTGTCCGCCTCTGGTCTCTGCCAGGATGGGGAGGAACTCAAAGTGTGTGGAGGGCAGGGCAGAATAGGTAGGGGCACAGGAGGCTCCTACGGGTGCCCCCAGGTCCCAGAGCCCACCTGTCTATTCTGGTTGCTATGGTCACAGTGAAAGCCCCCTCTGTGTCTGGCAGGTAGGTGGAAGGTACCACTCTGTAGGTCCCCGCGGGCAGCAGGCAGAGCTGGCTCACTTCCTGGGCATAGCGATGTGGCACACAGCTCAGCAGTGGCTCCTGCAGCAGCAGCGGGGGTGCACCAGGGCTCCCACCCCCGACTGGAACCTAGGGGACATAGGCTCTGACTGTGCAGGTACCCCTCACAGCCCAGGAGGCTGCTTCCTTTGCTGCCCCAGCTGAGGACTCACCTCCTCACCAAGGCCTGGCCACTCTTGCCAAAGGGGCCATCAGTGGGGCCTAGGCCTGGGAGGTGTGTCAGATCACCATGGGGCCTAACTTAAAAATCACCACTGCCTGGCAGCCACAGAGTACTCTGACTAGCCCTGGGCAGGTGGCCTGGAGCAAGCAGCAGCAAGATGCCAGTGGTGTCCCGTCAGCTCTTGGGAACTCAGGGGCACAGCACCATCCTCAGTGAGAAATCTTGTTCCTCCTGCCCCTGGTCACTTACATGCCAGGCCGCACGGGCCCCTCACAATGTATCCCCAGGAACAGCCACAGGCACACACTGACACCTCCAGCCCACACCCTCCTCAGGGTACCTGCCAGACCAAGACCTCTGGGGTGGGCCCCAGAGCGCACTCAGCCCCTTGTGGGATGCGAGCCTGGCACCATCACTGTGGGGTGTGGGCCCGTGACTTGGCCTCTCCCTCTTCTTCCAGAAGAGGCTGTGCATCTTTTCCTGGTGGCCAGGGAGAGGCAGGGTGGAGCAGGCTGGGGAAGGTGTTGGTTCTGGCTAGTACATGCTGACCCTGCCCACCTGCACAAGCCCTTCTTCCCTGGAGGTAGCAATACCTACCTGGCAGAGGGGCTGGCTCCTTGGCCATCCAGGTCACTTGCATGAGGTCTCCATGGTTGGCCTCTCCTCCCTGACCTCCCTACACTGGAGGATGGTGCAGACAGCGGTCAAGCTGTCCAGATTGCCTTTCCCGCCTGCTGTCTGGGGTCCAAGCGCCTACCCTATATGGCTGAGCCCCCCGTGGACTCCGCAGCTGCAGAGTCAGCCTCAGAGCCAGCTTTAGACCCACCCCTGGGCAGCTGCCGCGCTCTCTCCAGAACTCCTTCCTCACCTGGTTTTGTGTCTGATCTGAAAATCCACCCTCTGTGGGCTGAATCCAGCAGCCCCACACAGTACTCTGCCCGCTGGTAGGCAGCTGCCCTTGCATGGGCTGCCGCCTCCTTCCCTGCTTTCTGGTCATCTGAAGTGCCCTCCTCACCATGAATCAGGCCACCACTTCTTCCTGGCACCCATCCAGCCTGCTTGGGTCTCCCCCTCTTTGCCCAGTACTCTGTGCCCAGCACTCAGTGACACAGGAACAAGGAGTGGGTGCTGTGTCCAGGGTGGCTCCAGGGTGTGTGACCCTGGCAAGCCACCTGACCACTCCCCAGGGCACAGCCTCCCTACAGCTGTTTCCTGGGGCCACATCACCAAAGCAGCCCCCAAAGCCCTGGATCCTGAGGAGAATGGACCTTGAGATAGTTGTCCCAAGCCAAGGCAAGCAGATAAGGGGCTGCTGAGCTGATCCTAGTGAACACAGACTTCATGAAACCCAGAGACGTGTCTATGTGACCAGCCAACCTGGCTGATGCGCACAAACGGCTGAGTGCAGGAGTGCGAGTCACACCAAGCTGTCTGCCAGGACCTGAACCCAGATGCAAATTCTCCAATGGTTCAAGGGCTCCCCGACCCTGTCAGCTCCTTCTGCCCCCAGGTCCACCTCACACCCTACCCGCCCTGGGTGAGGAGCTTGCCTGGAAGACGTGAAAGCCAATGGGGTGGATCTCACCACCCCTGGGCTGGCAGTGCTGATGCAGAGTGATGCGGACGCAGCGTGTGCTGGGGCCATCAGGGACAGAGAAGGGGAGGCAGGGGTTTGTGGGGTAGGAGGCAAAGTTCCTGCTGCCCCCTGCTGTCTGGCCGGCTCTCCAGAAGCCCCGCAGCTGAACTGTCCCCCACTCTCCATCAGGCAGGGTTGCCCCAGGGGTGGTGCCCTTGGACGTGGCCTTGACAGCACTGACAGGAGAGATGAGGCAGGGTGTCCCAGGCATGAACTCGCACCAACCAGGGAGCCTTTCTATGAGGGGCCCTTGTTCCTGCCTAGGCTGTGGCCTCAGAAATCAGACAACAGCCCTGGTTCCACTCACCTGAGGGACACTTTCCCAGTGGAGAAGACTCGGAGCAGGAACTGCCCTGGCACGTCCTTCAAGAAGGTGCTGGGGACAGCCAGGTAGTAGCCTGGTGAGAGCTCACAGTGCAGCTGCACCTCCCGGTCGTATGCGTGGCACACAGTGCCAGCCACAGGGGGTGCAGACAGGACCCTGGGCAGGCTGACCCGCCGCTTCTCCACCTGCAACAGCACAGGCAGTGGCTCAGCGTGGTGCAAAGGCCAGGCCCATGGTGCCCACCCCCCACCTGTCCTGCTGAAAGCACAGGGCATCTTGAAGCCAGAGCTGAGCGTGCCCTGCCTATTCATCCCTCCCACCTGCTCAGGGCCAGCCAGAAATGTCCATGGCCCAGGGCTTTACTCAGCACAGAGCCAGCATCCACCCAAGATGCCAGCCGACAAACCTTCCTGCGCAGGAAGGACACAGACGTTTCTGTAGGACTGTGCCCCCAAAGCACCACTGGGTACTGCCAGACAGTGGTTTTCCAGCAACTTCTTTTCCAAAAAGAAAGGAATGTGATCTAGGCCACACCCCAAAGGAACAGGGAGCCTTGTGAAGTGAATTATCACACCCCATTAAAACACACAGGATTAAAGACCAGCGGCAGGCGCTTCAGCCAGTCTCTCAAGGAACCAGAAACTTAGGAGCCAACTACTGAACATGTGACAGATGGAACCTCAGGACATCCCTGGACATCAGAGTCAGGACCCCCATGTTGGGAGGGAGAAGCCTGAGGTGAAGAGGTGACTGACCTCTCTGTGGTCACACAGCAGGTGGCAGTGCTGGGCTTTGGCCCTGATGGCTCCTCAGTGGCCATTCTACCCTCCCTGCTTCAGATAGGGGCCGGCATGGCCCAGACCCTCCTGCCATTGACCTCTGCCTCTGGCTGCTCATTTTGTTTTTCTTTGGCCAAGGAGGCACAGGGGTCTGAGGGAAGGAGCCTGACCTTGCAGACTCAGGTCAGAGGTGCCTGTGGGAGCAGCAAGTGTGTGAACCCCTGCAGTGGCCCAGTAAGTGGGGAGACAGGTGGGCCCTTCGCAGTCACACATGTTCTGGTGTGGTAACTCCTGGGACTCAGACCTCCACAGGGAGGGGAGTGGGTGGGGCTGACTTGCCTTCCAGATGTGCAGGCCCACGGCCTGGTAGTCTTTGCCTAGGAAGCTCGCCGGGCTCCCTGAGGTATAGTGGCCACCCGCTGGCACCCAGGCCCGGCCTATACAGTCTGTCTTGCGCATCCTGGGTCTTTGCAGCACAGTGATGTGCACCTCACTCGGTTCTGAGACTCGCAGCCAGAATTTGGGGTTGCTGGGAAAGGTGCTGTTGTTCCGGCAGCCTCCTGCCGACTGCCCCTTGACCCAGGCTCCGGGCAGCGCCTGCGTGTGGCAGAGCACCTCTCCTAGTGCAAGAACATACCACGTGTCGGGTTCAGAGATGGTGTGTAGGCTCCCCACTTTGTTGCTGGGCTGAGGCAGGGACAGAAAGAAGGCCAGCACCTTCTAGGAGCTCCCTCTTTTGTCCCTCCTCAGGGCACAAAGGATGGGAAGGGATAGAACATTCTCTCCACATTAAAGAGAATCAAGAGCTGCGCCCAGGGTACCCATGGTGCCAGCCGGATGCGCCTCAGGCCTTCTTCCTTCAGGAGGGGGCATATGCCTGCGGCATCACCCATGTTACCTGTGTAGAGGCTCTGCAGGTGGCCAGCTTCTGTGATGGGATAGCCAACAGTGACCTCGTCAAACTCCCTGAGGAATTCTTTCTCCTCCACCCAGAACTCCCCTTCCTGGAGCTGGGACAGGAGTTCAGACTCTTCTGCTGGATCTACCAGGCTCCACCCTTCACCTCTGAAGGAAATCTGATTTCAGTAGAAGGCTCTCCCCAGTGAGCTGTAGCACCTCTTGCCAGGCAGAGCAGGGTGTGGGGAGCCTGAGAGCCCAGAGCCCCATGCTTGGAGGTGCTCTGCAGTACTGAGTCTTCTGGCATTGGCCACCTGTCTTCTGGCATTGGCCATCCTCTTGCTCCCCAGAGGAGCTTCCTGCCAGGGCCACCACTCCAGAGCACAGAATGACACTTACCTATGGCCTTGGATGGAGCCTGAGACCTCACAAGAACTGTCTAGAGCAGTGGTTCTCAACCTTCCTAATGCCGTGGCCCTTTAATACAGTTCCTGTGGGTTGTGACTCACAGGTTGAGAACTGCTGGTCTAGAGCCAAGACAGAGGGTGGTGCCCATGAGCAGGCACTAAGTGGGCCTTGCTGGAGATAACTGAGCACTGTCCTGCCAGCTCAATGTAACCAGTGCACGGGACAGATGGGCCCCAGGGCCCAGGCAACTTGATGGCCCTCCTCCTGACTGCAGCAGGACCCGCACCACACTCACCCCTCTCTCCAGAGGCCCTGCCAGCACCGTCGCCCCCAGGGATTCTGAATTCGCAGCAGGAGGATGCCCTGGCCGGCCTGACCCCGCAGCTCCCGCAGATCCGTGACAAGGAAGGCATGATATTCACCCAGCTCCCTGGCACCTGAAAAGCAGCTCAGTTAAGGTCAGGAAGGGCAGCACGATGTCCCTGTCTGGTAAGGATGCTCTCAAGCATGCTGAGATTTGCTTCAGCCCACCTACCCATGGCTACCCAGGAGGCCCCACGTTCCCCAGGACCACGGGAGCTCCCTTCCCAACAGCTGTAGCCCAGGTGGCTCAGGAGTATCCTTGGAGAACACACTGAGCCCTGGCTTGGCTGCTACCTGGGTCAGGCACTGGACAAGTGCTCCCTTCTCTGGGTCTTAGTCCTTGCCTTTACCCATCAGTGCAGGGTGCCTAACAGGCCAGTTGTCAAACATGACACTGCTGTTACTGCTGCTGATGCATCTTGAATGCCAAGACCAAGGGGGGTCTCCACTAGGCAGAGTTCACTGTGGGCAGGGGACATTCTGACTAGAAACCAAAGGAAGGCCTACAGAGCAAACAGGTCCCTTGGCTAAAGACCTCGAGACATGTGGACATAGAAATGTAAGAGCCACACAGGGGAGTGTCACCCCCAGGGAGGTACAGGGGTCCTGAAGGATGAGGAGCCTCCTGGACGGGTTTTCGTGCTTTCCTTACAGTGGCATTAGGCCCTGCATGTCTTGCCCACTCCCAATTCCCAGCCCCCTGGCCGCTTCAGTGGGCACTAGTAGATCTCCAGCAACAGAAGCCACATTGCTCTGCCGGGGGCTTTCTCCAGAGCATGAAGTACCAGGAATTAGTACCCCCACCCCTCCTGGGAGCCCTGTGGCTCCCAAGAAGGGAAGCCCAGGGACACACACCCTCCAGGCTTCCGCCTTGGGGTCCACCTGTGGGAGTGCCCAGCCAGGGCCTGTGCCAACCCTCATACACATGCTAGGGTGTGTGGCTGTCAACAGGTTTCAGTCCAATATTCACATTCACTGACCAAAATTACAAAATAATCTTGGGTATGAAAAACATTATGAAGATGTTCACTGCAATATCTAATTACGAAAAATCAGAAACACCCCAAATATCCGACATCAGGGGAAGGACTAAAAAAGCGATGGCAAGACCACTGAGGAGAGAACTCACTGGGCTGCTAAGGTGCCAGCACAGAAGCACAGCGATGTGCACAGAGCAGAGGGGCCGTGCCTATGAGGAAACTGGTGCACTGCAAGTCACACATGGTTATAGCTGAGTGCTTTTTATCTGTAAACAAACTTTCTTTAATGAACATGTGCCACTGAGATAAAGGATGGGCTTCACCTACTCCCTCCAACACCTCCGTGTGACAGTGACCAGAACACAGGTTCCTGCTCGTGCCAGTGGAAAGGACTGGTCAAGACAAAAAAGGGTCACCTCTGCATGGAGTAGGGGGACAGTAGGGAAAGGCCACACAAACCCAGAACAACACTCTGAGGACAAATTTCCTTCTTCCCACTTAGTCCCCACAGGGTTGTGTGAAGAGTTACATAAAAGCTACCATGTGTTGCATGTCTAACTGGTCGGTGCCTCACCTGCCCTGGGGCTGAGCACCGAACAGCTAATCAGACACTGGTCCTTTAGGTGCAGCAGCTGCTGGCAAGATCTGTGCTCCTGGCCCCCAGGCCCATCCTGTTTGCCACTGGTTCCTCCCAAGTCCTTCAGGTTCCACCTTTCTGCCAGGCCACCAGTTAGGTCCACCAGAGCATCGGCCACCTGCCCTGCCCACAGGTGTTCATAGGACCCGTGGACCCTAGGGGAACACAACCACAATGGGAGTGAGATGCCAGCATGGGGCATGGCCTTCTCCTAGCCCTGTGGGCTGCAAACGCCCCAGGCCTCTGATATCCCTCGGCCCTCTCTTCACCTCCTGCCTCATCCCACTCAGCCTAGACTTGGCCTCACCGCCAAATGCTTGAATTTGTAGCCTCTGGTAACCACGCTGTTGTCTTCTGCTCACTCTAAGAACCCCTGCCACCTCTGTGGGCACAAATGCAGCTTCATCTCTAGCTCCAGCCCCACTTTCCCAAAAGCAGCCCATTAGAGGGAGGCACCCACTTGGTGCTGACAGCTCCAGCTGACCTTAACTCCTGTGCTACATGTCTGCTAGTAGCTCAGCCTTAGCCAGATGATAAATGCACCCTAAGAAGGAACGTTATTCAACTAAGATCCTGGTGAGGCCCACGGTCCTGGTCAAGTCTACGATAAATAAGCTCTAGGCCTGGATGGCCTCACTCCTCCATAGCAACCACCACGCAGGGAGGCTGCCTGTTCCAGGTGTTCAAAAGCAAACAAACAGAAGCAACTTTCTTGCTGGGTCAGAGACAACAAAAAGAAAGACAAGGCATACCTCCCTCTGTGGAAGTCAGCCCAGAGGGACAGGCCTCTGAATGAGGGGTGGAAAAGAGGAGTGGGTGGGGAAGGGGGCAAAATGCAGGCCCAAGGGTAGAATCTCTGTGTCTGGGCCAGTGAGCCCCTCCCACAGAACAAGCTGCCAGCCCCCAGAACTGTAAAGGCCCTAGGCAATGGAGAGGAGTCTCCCAGGCCAGCCCAAGGTAGCCCCAGTGCACGTACTTGGCATAGACCTTTTCCAGTAGGGGAAGCCAGAATACATCCTCCCTCTGGCAGCGGGAGAAGCAGAGTCTCCCTGCAAGGCATGGCAGGCGATCATCTGTGGTCACTTCTATCCAGTGTCCAAACTGCCAAATGCGACAGGTGAAGGAGCCCCGGTATGTCTGGTCGGACCAGCTAGGCTGTCCTGGAGGAAAGACCTGCTGTGCAGAGAGGCGAAAGGAGATGGTGAAGAGATAAGCGACCCTCCACTGCCCCCTGCTGCTGCTCACTGGGATGTCTCTGCTCACAGAAAGCTCAGCTATGGGATGTAAAATCAGCAGACTCTTCACTTAAATATATCAGGACACCTCAGCCACACTGAGGGAGCCAAGTATCCCCAAATATGTTCTGCTGTCCTAAATGAGCATTTGACCTGAGTCCAAAACAAATGTGACTTTTGCAAGGCACAAGTGCCCCAGTTCTTGACAGAGCTGGCTGTAAACAGCATGTCACCAGGGGAACAGTGGCCTCTGTTTCTAGAGTCTGGGGCCTCATACCCTTGGCTGGCTGCCTACACCTGCTGCTGTCCAGGATTAGTGTGAAGGCACAGCATTAGGTGACTGTGGCTTAGCAATAGGCAGACTTGGTCCTGGCTGGCCACTTACCAGGCAAACACACGATGACAATGGCTTTAACACTCTCATGTGTAAAAAAGGGTCCACACTGGTAAGGATAGAGACTGAGAGCTAGTGACCACAACACACTGGGGCCTGGGATGTGGTAAATTCTGCAGGAGGGCACCAGTGTCCACACTGCTGCACCAACTAACAGGGGACACTGTCAGGGAAGTGTTGTCTGAGAGGTCTTCTTGGCCTGTAGTACCAGGAACAGTTTCGATAACCCTTTTCCAATTTGTATACAAAATGTATTTAAATAAATCAACTAGCTAAAGAAATTATCTTCTGAACCAGAGGCAGAGACTCCTTCAGCTGGCCCTGTCCTCTAGGCTAGCACCTGTGTTCTTCCAAATATATGGCTGTCACAAGACAGAGAACACAGAGCTTGGGAGGCGGCAGAGCAGGGCAGAAAGCCTCCCTGATGGACCCCTCCGATGGGCAGAGGTGTCCCCTCCTGTAGGAGAGGAACAGACTGTGGAGTCCTGAGTCTCTGCCCAGAACCCTCCTACTCTCCACTAGGCAGTCTGGGTGGCCACAGCAAAGGCCCCATGGGCAGTGCTTCTGGAAGGGCTTTCTGCACAGAGCAGGCAGCAAGGAGCAGAAGGGAAGCCCAGTGCCACAGACCTGGTCCAGGAGGTGCCTGCCCTTCTGTAGGGCTGCGCAGGCACATAGGAACCAGCAGTCCCCCAGCAGCCCTTGCTTCACCTGCCCTTCCCACGGGTTATCTGGAAACAGCCGGGGTGTGGCACAAATTTCCTGAAATAAAGAAAATTGTCCAGAGTTAGATCAAGCCTGATGGCTAATCTTTCAAACTAAAACCTAAGGATCTAGGTGACAGGCTGGAAAGGAGCTTTTCTAATCATCTCCATTGCCCAGATGGGAACAAGAATCAGCTGCTCCTTGAAGGCCTTGTTCTCCAGCACCTCCTGGCTTCAGACCCCGTCCAGCTCAGCTTCTGGGGAGCCCATCTATGTCTACCTTCTTTACGAATAAACCTTCAACCACAGATGAACCCCACTGTCCTTAAAATAGCTAAATGTTGGTTGAGGAAACAATTTTGGTTTAAATTCATGATGGCAAATCTCATGTGGGTCCTCCATTCTGTTGTGAACCCCACTGTTTCCCTAGAAAGGCTCCATTTCCCA